CGAATATTAACCGGAAACGGGGCACTAAATTCATCCGAACGGACTTTCAACTCGTGACCTTTCGCTGGATCCCGACAATTTCGAAGGGCCCGTGTACTTTGCTTTGCCAAACTGCTTGGATTTTAAGGACCCTTTCGGTGCCATAGCGCTTCGCACCCACACCTGCAGTCCCATCTCCATATCGCGACCTTTCTTGGTTGCGTTCATATATTTCCGCTGCTGACGGGCTTGACCGAATCCAATGTTCTCTGCAACTTTTGCGAATAAGGTTTTCTCGTCAGCCTGACGTAAATGCGTAAAGTCGTCGCGCATAGCATCGGAAAATGGATCCTCTTCATCAAACTCGCGACAGTCAACATCAGACTCAGAACCATCACCATCGTAGGTGCAACTGTCTGGCAGTTTAGGGTCACGCCCAAACATGACGCGAAATGGTGGGAAATTAGTCGTGCTTTGGACTGTTGCATTAGCAGCAAATACTGCAGCATCCACCCATTTATCCCATTCACCGCCACGCTCCAGGGTGTATTGTGTTAGGTCACTAAGAAAATTTCAAAATTATTCAAGCTTGTTATCAGGTACTTCTAGCAATGGCTATTTTACATGCATGAGCACGAGGAAATCTCCCAACGTGAACTGACGAAACGTTCTGTACACACGATCTTGCACTCAACAGCGCGCACAAGCCCTATTTTCGCATAAGGAAAAGGCGATGTTGGTGTAAAGCCTGGATTACAGACTAATTTCGGTAACCGAAGATAACATGTAGAAGAAGAGAACAGCGACTTAATGTTACAGCTCTGTCAAGAAAAAATCGAAAGCTTCTTCTCAAAAATTGCAGCCACGTTACCCTTTAAGAACTAAAGTGCATTATATTTTTGGGTGTGGCTATTCCCACCACCTTACACCACCTTTTGGCTTTTCTCATCCCTTTTGCCGCCTTCTAGCTATTCGCACCACCACCTTCTGTGTGACAGCGGACATTATCAAAGGGCAGGTGGCCCTGTTCTACAAGCTCGCCGTACAACCGCGACATGTTGTAAACGACCATTGTCGAAAACAGCTCATAAGTTAAGTATGAACGCCAACTTAAACACCTTCAGTAACTCGATAAGCCCGATATCTTCCGTTTTAACAACACGAACAGCAACTGTAACTTTTTCTTCCTACTGCTTTGCTAGGCTTTTTGGCCATTTTACCAGCAGTTCTATCTTGTCAACCTCCTAAAATATTTCCATCGCAACTTATAAATTGGTTAATGTGATCAACGTTTTATCCATAAAGTATCTATGGTCGAGGTGCTGCGTCTGTGCGATGGGCAACAACGTTCTTCCGCAGGTTCGCTATAACATACATGTCTATGGGATAAACAATTTGTTTTCGGGTTTATCCTGGTCTAATCGCGCAAAACCTTTTTGCGAACGTGTTACGAGTACCACTTGGCATGGTTGTTAGTTTCATAAAAAGCACTCGCGAAAGTATCGCTTTACCAATTTTTTACAGGGACTGCTATAAGCGTGTGTGCGGCTGTCAAGTGGTCAGTAATCGCCAGTTAGTTAACCTGATCTTTCATGGTGCTCGGCAGTAAACAAGATTACGCAACTGTTAATATCAGTCTCAATGTGTATCCGTACGTTTCTGGCGAATGCGCGACCAGTCATACTTACGTTTTCAGCTGTTTGTTGACCTGTTCTATCTGACCGCATGTGCGTGGATGGCGCGGTTTTGCATAACGGTGTCGAATGCCTAACATTTTTTCCATATTCCTGTTGGGATCGTTCTTGAACTCCGTGCCTAAAAAAGGCTCGCGTTAAGCGGAGCTAGCAAACACAATATCCATCTCAATAATTTGCGGTTATTTTTACCTACTATTATTCGAAATTTCAAGCAAGTTAACGGAATAGATTTTAAATTATCTGATCTCACTTAAAATTAATAGAAGCGAGATTTTGTTGATTGCTGATCATTTAATATCGTTTCGCCGTTCAGTGAGCACCTACCGTTGTCGGAAATTATATTCTCGGGAATCCCAGAAAGAGAGTACACGTGGTAGAGCTTTTCTACGATGGTTTCGGCCTTTTTATCCGGAATCGGGAAAGCCATCCTGAACTTCGTGAAATAGTCCACGACGGTCAACACGTAAACGTTCCCTTGCTTCGTTTTCGGCAGTTCAATCAGATCGTATCCGATAAGTGCCCATGGTCGGCCGGGTACAGCTGTGGAGGCCAAAGGCTCCTTCACGGCGTCTAAACCTTTCCCTTGTTCGTTGCAGATTGAACATGAATTTGTCTAAAATATGCATGTTCAGTTAGGCAGCTGCAATCAGGTTGTTTTAATATTTTGTGCCAAGTGGTATTACCACTTCGTCTATCGTCTGACGTATTCCATTCCAGTAATACAACCGGTTGACAGATGCCTCCAGTGCATCTCGACGAGCGTGACCAAGTGTACTGCAAGATAAACTCATGACTTGCCGCAGAAAAATTAATTCTCATTTAAAAACAGGCTAGGGAATGGCAACTTCAGACAAAGTAAAAGGTAGTCAGGGAGCCAAAAGATACCCGTCGTTAGAATATGAAAAAGCCTCAATCGTATGAGATGCGCGCATAAACTTTGCTTCCCGTAATTAAATACAAGTAATATTTCTAACTGATTCCGTGAAATCTCTAGTTCTTTCGAACCTTTCTAATGAGAGCAGAAAGACAATTTGGAAGGAGAAGCTTTAAAAGCTGTATTTTACCTGTGCAACCCAGTCACTAGCTTTTTTGCTTCTTCAGGGCATAAAACAACAATTACGTCTGGAGCACTCTGAGTGGCACCTTCAACAACCTTTCCGCTCGATTTCTTGCGGTACAGTTTGTTCTGGCCCACATGAAATCCATCGGAGCGTCTGCGGAAAACTCATTTCTGATTTTTCGTCGTTACTCCTGCCGGATACTTCTGAGTCTCTAGATACTCTTTGATTGCTTGCAAATCAACATGCTGCTTAGAAGCCATTTGAAAAACCCAAACCAGTTATTTAATGATCTCCGATTCCGCAAACGAGGTAATCGTGTGTGGTAAAAAACGTTTGTATCTCCCAAACGAACGAACAAGTAGGAACTACCTGTCAAACATTTAACATGTCTAAATTTGAAATCAAGACCGGTATCCAGCTCTGATAATCTCCACATATTGGCAGCTACCTGAAGCTCTATTTCGGCAGGTATGCACAGATATGGTCATATGCATAACTCAAAGTACTGCAGCGTTTCCACCTAATGCATTTTGAACCAGGCGCAGTAAACGCACAAACACCAGAAAAAACGTATAGAGAAAAATTTTGGCCGTAGCGCCTAAAAATAATCTGGACTGCCTATATACAGCGTATTACAGATAGTTCTACGGTGGCATCGGTGAGGTAACAGCCTTCCGAGGGAAGCAACATCGGAACAGTTGCCGGATAACGTTGAAATACAGATTAGGGAGCGGTCGTCGCTGTTGCACGGGTCTTCTTCGGATCAATATCAAAACCGAATGCTGACCGATTAGGAATATACGGAGGAGCTTTGATCTCTCTTTGACCGGCTGGGGCTCCTTTGCGTGTGACTTCCAATGTAGTAGTAGCATAATTAACTGTAGGCGCGGTAGACGGATTGGGCGACTGAACAACAGGATCCCATTGAATAAAGCGAATGGTGAACCAGCGCCACAATAAATCGCTGATCCAAAAATCGCTGAAATTACGTAACTTTCCATAGCTTTACAGAAGCTCGAATTGCAGCTAATCTTTCGTTGGCTTTTGGTCATTATTTTCGGAAATATTATTCCCCATGAGCTGTACATTGATACTGTAACGGCAGTGTTTGATAAGTACACTAGGGTGCTGCTTCTTCAAGCTAAAAAAATGCAGTAAGTTAACCAAATATTTTTCTTAGTCTGACGCCATGATCTCCATCGTTCCTGCAGCTAATGCGAGGAATAAGAATTCATGTGCGGGGCAGTACTAGTAGTGCGGATTTAAATGAGAATAATTAACAGTTACATGTATATGTAATTAGAATTGACAACACAAAGTCGTTAGCGAATTTTCAAAAAATTCCTGAAAATTATCATAGCTCATCTTATGCGATGTATTCTTATAGGTGGGATTACTGTGATAGCCTGGCAAGAAAGTAATTACTCACACACTTATAAGTGGGTGAGGGCTTAGTAATAAGTGGGGTTAGTAATAACTAAGCGTAATTAGTAACTTAATTTTGATCAGCCGTTGTAGCCGGTATGCGCTGCTACTACGCGCTCTGCAGCATGCATTAAAGGTAATCAGTAATTATAACATCAACTAAAGCGCTCGGATCTTTGACAGGACTTTCGTTGAGTACTGTACAGTATAAGGTCTAGCATTTTAACCGCAGTTCTGCAACATCGGTCACTTATTTCCGCTTTATTGCGAATGTTTGCGATAACGTCAACACTCGACACCAATATTGTCGTTCCGGCAATAATGTCCCCTGTCGGACTCCAGTAATTTTGTTCCGGCAATAATGTCCCCCATGTCGGACTCCAATAATTTTGTTCCGACAATATTGTCCCCCATGTCGTACACCCGTAATGTTGTTCCGGCAATAATGTCCCCCATGCCGGACACTAGTAATTTCGTTCCGTCAATAATGTCCCCCATGCCGGACACTAGTAATTTCGTTCCGGCAATAATGTCCCCCATGCCGGATACCAGTAATTTCGTTCCAGCAATTATTTAACCCTTGTCGGACTCCAGTAATTTTGTTCCGGCAATAATGTCCCCCATGTCGGACTCCAATAATTTTGTTCCGACAATATTGTCCCCCATGTCGTACACCCGTAATGTTGTTCCGGCAATAATGTCCCCCATGCCGGACACTAGTAATTTCGTTCCGGCAATAATGTCCCCCATGCCGGACACTAGTAATTTCGTTCCGGCAATAATGTTCCCATGCCGGACACTAGTAATTTCGTCCCGGCAATAATGTCCCCCATGCCGGATACCAGTAATTTCGTTCCGACAATAATGTCCCCCATGTCGTACACCCGTAATGTTGTTCCGGCAGTAATGTCCCTCATGTCGGACACCAGTAATTTTATTCCGGCAATAATTTCCCCCATGCCGGATACCAGTATTTTCTGTCCGGCAATAATGTCCCCCATGCCGGATACCAGTAATTTCGTTCCGGCAATAATGTCCACCATGCCGGACACCAGTAATTTCTTTCAGGCAATAATGTCCCCCATGCCGGACACTAGTAATTTCGTTCCGGCAATAATGTCCCCCGTGCCGGACACTAGTAATTTCGTTCCGGCAATAATGTCCCCCATGCCGGATACCAGTAATTTCGTCCCGGCAATAATGTCCCCCATGCCGGATACCAGTAATTTCGTTCCAGCAATAATGTAACCCTTGTCGGACATCAGTAATTTTGTTCCGGCAATAATGTCCCCCATGGCGGACACCAGTAATTTCGTTTACCCCCTTGCCGGAAACCAGTAAGTTCTGTTCTGCTGTAATGTCTTTAGGTGACCGATGTTCCTCAACTGTTTTGGACAGGTAACGCCGTGGTAACGCTTGTGGCACATTTTCAAAGGTCACCGATCGACCTGAAAATCAACTTTCCGTTGTAAGTCCCCCATGTTACCATTCTGGCCAAAGGGTTACCGTTTTGGAGATGGTGGCAGGGGGGACACGGCAAAAATGTCCGGGGGGACAGGGGGGACATTTTTGCCGGTCACAGGCGACCGGCCACAGCCGACGTAATACATGATGCTCAGACCGTTCTTCAAGTCCACCTGGTTTCCGTTCACTTCCTTAACGAAGCGCGAGAATCCGCTAACCATCTCCAATAAGACGCAGCCAAAACTCCATATATCGGTTTTGCGACCGATATTGAAGCCGGTATCGTCGTCATTGATCATTTCCGGTGACATGAAAGCACACATACGTCTGTAGCGCGGGACTTCCTTCGCCTCAATCGTATCGTATACTAGACGTTTACTGGCGTCCAGGCGACCAATCTTCATTTGGCAGGTGTCCCAGTCCGGGCTGCTTAGCAGAATATTGGTTCCCGTTAAATCGCGGTGCACAATGTGTTGGGCGTGCAGATAGGCTAAGCCGGCGAGAATCTGGCTCGTCCATTTTTGTACGAGGGGCGCGGCAATGTGCAACTGAGCCGCAGCGTGCAGATTCCCGCCTAAGAGAACAAACACCCATAAACTGAGAAATTGTAGCGAATACTTACGTACAGTGAAACCTCTGAGATACGTACATCTCCTTTCAAAAAAAATCGTACGTTACCTGGAGGTGTACGTCACGTAGAGGTTTCCCCCTGTACTTTAGCTTACGGAGTAATTCGGTACAAAATTTTTCGTACTTATTTTAGAGGTGTACGTAACGTGGGAGTGTACGTAAGAGGAGGTTTTACTGTATTCTAAATCTACTGTTTAACTGTTTTTTCCATAATATTATATGTAAATTTTATTGCTAATTTTTTTTAGAGCGTCGAACCACATACAGTTTCTAAGTAATCTGGCTCGTAACGCTAGCTTTAAATTTTAAACTACGGAGAACGAAGTTTTAATGCCCATTTGCGCTGCCTAAGCCGCAGTTATTGTTACTGCAGGGTTCTGCAGCACACACGCATTCATTATTTACCGCAACAGTATTCCATAATAATTCTGTATTTTGCCACGTCCACTGGGCTGCCCTCCCAAGAATGGCAGTGCGCCAGGTGACGCACCAAATATGGATGGTTTAAACTCAGAAGATGCCGCAGATCGGCGTCCAACGCATCCGCCTGCTCATTGGCTTTTTCCCTGTTCGATCCCAAAAGGGATTGTTTTATCACAATTTCTCCGGGTCCAAGGCCTTCAGTACGGTGGGCCAGATAGACAACGGGAGTGGCACTAAGAACTTCTACGAACGGATACGGTATTTGCAGCCATGTTGGATCTGCTGCGCTGGCCATGATACAGTATCTCTTAAGCCAATCAAAACTAGTTGTGCATAATACATTTACCACCAACTTACCAAGCACTATTCCCATCTAGTTTTAGCCTTCAGAAAACTCGAAACGCAGCGCTTTTCTAACAGCGCTGCCGGTGTATTTAGTACAGAACCGCCGGAAAGCGCGATCACGGTTAATCTGATGATAAGCGCACATCTCTTTCTTGATTGTGTTAAGCCGGTGATATCGTTATTAGTTCAATATTATTTGTATTCATTACATCATATTGTAGATAGCCGACTCAGGGCGATACTAATATAGGAGAAAATTGAAACCAGTGAAAATCTGACGTAACCGGAGATGGATTTCAAATCGTGGACTTCTTAACTTGGACTGCTTCAGCTGAATCTGTCAACTTGGACATTTTAGTATTTTAATGCCTTGTATATATCCTCACATATTCTCCCAACATAAAATGCTTATGGCACTCTACTGTTTTTGAGAAAAGATGCTTCTCTGGTTAGTTTTAGTTTTCTTAGGTCTCCTATGATTCTTAACATGCCTTAACAGCAAATTACTGGTTGTACGATTCGTATTACAGTGGTACACCTAGTACTTTGTGTATTTCTGATTATTGTTTGGTACCCCCATATTGACCATTGCTGATTAAAATTACTTGTTAACCCAGGAAAACCGGGTACTAGAAGGGATAGGACTACAGTTTTGAAAATTGGCAGTCTGGGACAAAAAAACTTAATTAAGAGAAAAATACTTTTTTCAAAATTTTAGTGGCCATAGGTCAAGCAGGAGATGACCATGTCGGCCATGGTAACCATGTTGCGCCGACATGTTATACACTGCCGTTTATAACAACTGATAAAAACATCGCATAGAATATGTCATTAGCTCAGAGGACAGATCTCAACGAATACTTCAAGATGGGTGTATTGTAATGGTCATCGAGATGACCAGTGGTTAAGGAAAATTTTTAAGCACAGTCGTATACCACCTGCGTTCGCAGGAATTAGAGTTCTCTGAATTTGGAGCCTTCCCATGCGCCTTGTTAAGGTGTCTGGTTTTGATCTGCTTTTTTTGTTCGAGGTTTATAGATTATGCTGGTGTCAGCGTGCGATACCCCATTTACCAATTACCACAGCCTTTGTATTTAGACCGTGCTTTGGACGGCGTTTGCTGTTGTGATTCTTTTAAGTTTTGTTGTCCTCCTTCCATGGATTATGTTCCGTTGCAAGAGGATGCTAAATCATCGAATTTTTAAGTCGTTAATTATATCTTTATTCCCAACGCTGAAGCGGTACTACACTGAGTGCAGTGCACTCCAAATGCGTGGGATACACTTTTTTGCGGTTTCAGGAAAAGAAGCACCAGATAATCTGGGAAAAGCCAACGACAGCGCGGTCACAAAAGTTACAACCAGCTTTAGAATGTATTGTGATGGATATTTTTACTGACACTGGCCGTTATAGCACCTCACTGACGCCAGTTCATTATTTTAATTTATCCTGGATTTTTCGTTATGATTAATTACGTACATACAGATACAGATGTTGCTACTAAGTTTTATGAATGAGCTGAACGAAGCGTTTCGCGACCGGTTGTTAACCATGCGGATTGCACCTTTTGAACTCGCGCACAAAGTCGGCGCACACTGCTTTCGTCTTCGAAAACTTAGAAAAGTGGGACCAACCCAATACAGATGCTTATAAAAAGTCCGCAAGATACTAGACGAGATAAACAAGTCGCCCTGGCAACAGCCGTTCATATTCTTGGTGGGCGCATGTCCGGCCACTGCGGTGCATTGGTCATCGTCATGAACGGTTTAACCAACAGCTCACTGGCGCCTGGTCGCTTTTCCGGATCACGTGACAGACAATCCGCCACAAAGTCCCGCAATTCGTTTGGTATGTCGCTGGGAATAATGGGCGACCCTCCGCTACCGATGTAATACATGGCGGCCAAGTCGGTCTTCAGGTCCATCTGCTTCCCGTCGACTTCCTTGACAAAACGCGGGAACCCGCTGATCATCTCCAGCACCACACAGCCGAAGCTCCAGATATCGGTCTTGCGACCGATGTTGAAGCCGATGTCGTTGCCCATGATCATTTCTGGCGACATGAAGGCCCACGTGCCTTTGTCGTGCGAGACCTCCTTCGCTTGGGTCATGTTGGCCAACAGACGCTTGATGGCGCCTAGATCGGCGATCTTGATTTGGCACGTATTCCAGTCGGCACTGCTGAGCAGGATGTTGATGCCCTTAATGTCGCGGTGGACGATCTTTTTGGAGTGCAAATACGTTAAGCCGTCCACAATATGGTGGGTCCATTTCTGGAAAAGTGCGGCGGGAATTTTATATTTTGCCGCCGCATGGAGTGTCCCACCTGAAATCGAAACAAAATCATATTATTATTACGTATACAGAAATAAAATTAAAACAAAAGGTTATAAAATTGGGAAGTTTATTGGGCTTTGCATAAATGCCAGCAACGCTTATTCTTCCACATATAACAAACCTATTTCAAGGTAACCAAACGAAGAGTAAGGCCTTGTTCCGAATTCCAAGCGAATCTCGCTTTGGTACGGTTGCTCAACCGCACGAGGTGGCTGTACGCAGTGGCCACGCCTACAGATACGGTACGCGAAGCCACCTCGCGAGGTGGAGTAGCTGTATCGCAACGAGATTCGATTTGAATTCGGGACGAGGCCTAATTTTATGTGTACAGTAACGTGGGCATTTTATTAAGACATACAGACGTCAGCGCGTCAGCTCACCCAGTATAAGTGACAATAGATACATCTATAACATGGGATAATTTAACCGTAGACTTTTTCCCAGTTTGTACAAATATACCTGAACAATACTCCATGATAATAACATAATTCGGCACGTCCACTAAGCCGGTCTCCTGGGCATTTTGATGCGCCAGATGACGTACCAAGTTCGGATGCTCTAAGTTAAGGATATTGCGCAAATCCATATCCCACGCACCCGCTTGCGCGCGGGCATTTTCCCGGTTCAAATCCAGATGGGCTTTCTTCACTGCAATTGCAATTTTGGCAGGTGTCCCAGTCCGTCTTCGCGCACTCAAAAAACATTTGCATTGATCTACAAGCTTGTCCCGTAATTTCCATCGCATCAGAACAGCGAACATTACAAATTTACGTGTTGCGCGTAAATCCGTACTACGGCGCGCCACGCCACACTGTTTAAACACGTAACATGCATTTGGCTGGCTGGTGGCTTGGTACACGCCATATACAATGCGAGCAAGAAAGGAAGCTACGGGTTTAGGATATGCGTTGTAGCGAAGACAGCGAAAACCGGTTTGTACAGCTAGTACGCGCACAGACAGCCACACTGATACGTGTGCAAGTGAATGCGAGCGGATTTACCCACTCACACACACATGTGCCGATCGATCGATACAGCAAGGCAGCACTCCGCTTGCGCTTTTTGACAGCACTGGAATGCGCTGTCTTCGGTCTATTTATAGTCACAACAGAGAGGCTGCATTGATCAACCAGCCTCAGCGGGCAAAAAAGGCTGTTCGCTGGCTTTTTAACATAGACCGTAGTCTCCTCATTTAGTCAGATTGTAATTCAATGAGAATAACAGTAACTGCTTGGCGTAAGGTGGCTAAGGAACAGTCGGTGTGGTAATGGACAATCTAACTACGGAGCGGATTTAGGCAATCAGATAAGTGTAGTGACGTGGCCATCGTTTCAAGCGCAAATTTCGCGCTAGCTGTACCTTTACGATGGAAATTACGGGACAAGCTTGTACATTCTGTATATGTGTAGACTAACCATAAGTAGGGATTTGTAAAGATTGGCGTGAAAACCGTTTTTGCGCGCAACATTCGGTCAGGTAAATTCCAAAACGGTCGAATGTGTTTAAGTATACAAAAGCCTCGGCCCGCTCAAGCTCGGACTTGGACCCGGACTTGGACTACTAAAACCTGGACTTCGTAACTTGGACTTGGACTTCAAAACTTGGACTTCGTAACTTGGACTTGGACTTCAAAACTTGGACTTTTGCTTAGAAAAAAAAAGTAAGTGTAAGAAACCAAAGAAAACTAAGAAACTAAGAAACCCAAGAAACCTAAGAAACCTAAGAATCTTACGAAACCTAAGAACCCTGAGATACCTAAGAAACCTATGAATAGTCCAAGCTGAAGTTTACAAGTCCAAGTTCTAAAAATCCCAAGAAAGTCCAAGTTTTAGCGGTCCAAGTCCGAGTTTATTGTGGTCCAAGTCCATGTTTTAGTAGTCCAAGTCCGAGTCAAAGTCCGAGCTTGAGCACAGGCCAAAAGCCTCGATCATTATGGACCGATTTTTCGAATTTTGTACGAAAGCGCACATGGGCATAAAGATATTCTTACGCCAAACCAGATTTCGTGATTTTCTTAAAAATGTAAACTGGATTAATATTCTAGAAAATACGGACGAGCAAAGGCGTATAAGTATGCGTTGCAGAATTACTGTGTATGCCATAAACTAACCGAAAACTCATGCCGGTCCTTGGTTTCATCATCATAACCATTACGATCTCTACGATGCAGATACATGGAAATGATGGAATGAATATATTTGTGTAGTGAAGCTACGCTGCATTTCGGCAGTCAACAATGACGCCAAATTGGTGAGCTCCGTGATTTCCTTTATCCCACAACAGGCATCACTAATGGCATTAGGTTCGATACCCTGACGTCATAGCGTTATCCTGTAAAGTCATTTTTTTAACCAAAACAAATCAGGGTTGCAGTACCGCTATATATTCACTAGCTACGTCATGAGCAACGGCAGCCAACTACGACGTTGTAAACACTGGCTGCGAATACAACTGCATGAGTCATAGTCTCACTCCCGTAACGCACTTCCGTAACACACTTCGGTAACAAATGTCCGTAACGGATTTTCGTAACGGACAGAAATCAGCCAAAGTATTAGTCAAAAATATAGAGTTCCTTGGCTACGCACTGGTCGATAAAATATGCGCGCACATTTTTTCAAGAGCAAAGGAAATGATCAACTTCTATAACGTTTTAGCAATCTTAATTAAGGGATGTGGGCCGGTACATGGTAGCCAATTCGTGGACATGCGCAAAACTTACACTTTCGCGCAATCCCAAAAACATTTTTGTTTCGGTTTATGACATTCTGTAGACAGACGATTTGAATACTCTAATGGGAAAACCGTTTGTGCGCACGACATCCGGTTCGGGAGTTATGGCTGTTAGAAAATTCCAAAAAGTTTAAATGCATTCCGGTGTACCAAAAGCCTCATTATGGACCCATCTCCCTAAAATTTTGCAAGTAAATGCACATAACCACGAAGAACGTTTTACACCGATCCACTGTTCTAGCATGTTTTTCATACTTTATAATGAATTTCAAAAATTTCAAAATTCATTTTAAAATCTGAAAAAAATCGTGGAAGTCTGGATCGTGTATAAACGATCTTCATGGACAATATTTTCAAATTTTGAAATAAATTTTGGAAATTTATTTCAAAAATTTATTTAAAGTTAGAACGTTGGCTCGCTGTAAAAACGATATTCGTGAAATGCGCATTTATCTGTTTTTTTTTGGATTTCATTTCGCTCATAACTCTCCAATCGGATGTAGCAAGCATTCATGCCGGTGTATGCATAGCTACAGAAAATACCTAAAAACAAGGTAAAAATATTTGGGAGGAAGCGCAATAGAAAGTTCGCGTGCATGTACAGTACACCTTTTTGGCGTCGCGTTTCCGGGATACTTTCCTTACTATGTCCACTGCACACAGGCTAGGTGAGTGAGTAGCTGAGCTAAGTGCTTAATACCACTCCGGTCAAGTGCGCACAATCCGCTAGATGACAAAACGGCTGCCGATCACTCGCTACAACAACGGGTGATCGAATTATAGCTACTGTCCACTGTACGCAACCGCTCGTGATTAACGGCTGACCTACCACCACAATCCCACACAACACATTAGGTAAAGCAGGTGACCAAACTACCACCACACCGCTGCTCAGTTCAAGATACAGTACTAGCAGAACGCATGAACTCACTGCCTGTGAGTTTATGCGTTCTCCGTTCTGAACACAATTTGTAAATACCTGACCCATGACAGTAGTTTGATTTCGGTCACTTTTCGCTTCGGGAATTGAGAATCAGGAATACGCATGAGCGCCAGAAACCAGAAACCAATTCTTCTATAAAAATTTCGTTTTTGCATTGATGGATATCATTAATTATGCTTCGCCGAAACTTAAAATAATGAAAATCATTTGAATAATCTGGCCGAAGACAACAAGAAACGCGGAGGCCAAGCCGAAGCTGTTTCTGTTAGTCAACTATTAAGAAGTGTTTGCTTCAGTATTACTGGAGAATAACATCTGCGAATGACCGAGCGTGAACGGTGAAAGACCGTTTGCAACATTGATCGTAGTTGCTAAGCGTTTTGCATTTATTAAACTGTGCAAGGTGATACTTAAGTACTCTACTGACTTTAAAAGAAATACATTAACGTAGTGCCCTTTAAAGCATGGTTCTCGCAAATCCCGACAAAATGCGCCATGAAAGGATGCTGTCTCATACTGGTTGTCAGCGTGCTATCATTATCTAAAGTGACCTTGGCCAAGCATAAGAAACTTGCTGACCTTTCCCAAGGTCATCACTTCGACAACCAGCCGTCCGTTGCTGCGCACCTTACTAAGAACATTCCGCCTCCATTGCGACGGGCCATTGTACTGACGCTGGAGAAGAGCGACGTGGGCCCCTTCGTGGCGGCCTGCATTAAGAAGGCACTGTGCAGTCACGAGCAGGTGTTGAACGGAATCGGTGGGAAGCGGTGGAAGTGGCGGATTAAGCACCAGCGCAGTCTCATGCATTTCTGGCAGGTACGTCATCCTTTGCAAGACCATCCAAATAGTTCCACATTCGTTTCGCATATCTTTCGTTACAGCGTTCTACAGGCTTTCATTTACTGGTTTTTGATTTATCGAGAATTGTTTTATCCTTAATAATTTATTTATGCTTTATTCGTTCAGATGCTAATTGTACGGGAAATTTAACAGATATTTGTTGTTCTTGGAAGGATTTTTTACGTGCAAAGCAAGATTGACTCCGTTGGTTTTTAATTTTTACTATCTAAATGTTCAAATGCGTAACAGAAAATCCACTCAAAAATAAAATCCAACTCGACATTAAAATAAATTGAGTTGGTTTTCTAAGCCCCTGAAAAGTCAATATTTTGCTGGAAAATAATTACCAGTTTTTACGTATAAACGTTTTTACGTTTGTTGTAGTAGCATATATACAAACTTCTTTTGTTATCTCACACTAAAATTAAACCTTAATAATTATTATGTAATGAATAAAATCACTGAAAAAGTCAAGAATTATACCGAAAGCCAATTCTGTTATTTAGTTTTGTTTTTCATATGGAATCGAAGTATTTAAAATTTACAAATTGACAATTACGCTTAAATACTTGACGTGCAAATATGGATTTTCGTGAATGCAAAAAAAGGACTGTACGGCTGTGCATATAATTTTTGGCAAAAATACGTAGAATTATGATAAAAATATAATCTTCAATAAACTTTAATAATCTTAATAAATAATCTATAAATAATCTTAATAAATAATCTTTTAAATATAATTTCTAATAATATAATCTTTAATAATATTTTCCTTAATAAGCAGCAGCTGATTTGTGGGCAGGTGTACGAATGTTATGCCCATCACCGGCCGATGGCTTGTCCCGTGGACGGCGGCTGGAGCGCCTGGGGCGCGTGGGAACACTGCTCCGCGAGATGCGGACGCGGCACCCGCGTTAGACGGAGAAAGTGCATCAGTCCCCAGCCGGCGAACTATGGGAAGCAGTGTGCCGGGAAATCCGTCGACAAAGAGCACTGCGAGCACACCTGCCCCAAAAACTTCACTGGTAAGCCCGTTAAGTGTCGCTAGAACGTAACTCACTTGAGTCACTTCGTTGACTTCGTGTATTGGTCGGCACGATCGATTGCTGCACCATAAAATGTATACTCACGATAATATAATAATATATTAATAATTATAATAATTAACAAGTATAATAATTAATAATTACAATAATTACTTAACATTTAATTATCAATAATTACAAGAATTATTTAACATTTATTTATTAATAATTAACAAATGTGAAAATTAATGATTACACTATTTTATCAATGCAATAATTATTGATTATAATAACTATTATAATTGCTAATTACAGTAATTTAATTAACGAAAGTGCTATGCGCCAGGAAAATTCTTGGCGCATAGTCAATTTGCTATGCGCCAGGAAATTTCCCGCAAAAGTAAAATTTGGTTGTTTTTAAGTTGTCAATATCACTTTACGAAGTCTAATTGTAACCAAAACGTCTGATTGCGACTACAGTCCGTTTCTTTATCACTACTTCGAAAATCGCTTTTTAATACAGTCACCAACGGTGCTGGTAGGAAGTTTTATCAGCTGTAATGTTTAGATCATATGCGCGGTAATTTCAGCTGTTAAAACTTTACTTCACACCGTTAATACGGCATATCGTTATTTTTGTTAAGACGGACTTTCTCCGGGACGTTTCTGTGCATTTAAATTGCATCGATCTCTTTGGCGGAAACACACACCTAATTTTTTGCGGCTCGGTCTTTGTGTGATTATTCATTGGTGAAAGTAAATTAATATGCCGGCGTAGGGGTTTACTTTTTACCAGCTTTGCCACTCGTGTAACAGGGCAGTCCAGCTTAAAAGAGGTTTTTTGGGCGGGAATTCAGCACTTCCCTTGGGCGGTGAATGCAGCCGTACTGGATGAAGTAACATTTGTGCCTTTTTTCAACTTATCTTGCTTTCAAAGAAAGCAATGACGCGACGCTCATTTCCAAACATTTGATGAATCTGCTTCATATACACGCCTTCATGTAATTTTTAAGCTCGTTCTAATGGTAAGACTTTAACTGCATTGCAGCGCTGGCTCTTGAACACTATCTTCCGTTGTAGTGAGATATGATGTGCACAAAAACGAATGAGGAACTACAATGGACTTCATAAATGTGGATACACTTAAAGCCGATAGCGCTATGCATACGGGTGGCTATGCGTAACCACATTTAAGAAGTCCACTGTAAGAACAAATCTTTCGTGGTGAAGTAAGAAAATCGTGTACGAATTTTTTCCGATTTTCAGAACAGCTGAAATACCACTGTGCTGCTAATACAATGTTGAAAACACAGTTGTTGCCGATACTGTAGTCCTTAGTTTTTTCGTAAACATTGAGTTCTTGGAAATCGTAGTTTGTACTTTTCGTAATGAATCTTATGTTTTACTAGGCTGGAATGTTAAACCTGCATTCACAAAATTGAAAATATCAGGTTATTAACAACTAACCAATAAATTTTGATTTTTGGCGGCGAATTTCCGGGCGCATAGCAAAACGACTATGCGCCAGGAATTTTTCCTGGCGCATAGAAAATTGACTATGCGCCATGAAATTTCCTGGCGCATAGAAGTGACCTTTAATTAATACAGTACTTTCAATAAATTGATAATTTTAATTTTTATAGCACGGTGAACTTAATGCGCTCTAAATGATATTTCTAGATAAGTATTATTGAGTTTTTCCTGGCTTTAGCGATGGTGGAAGGCGATCCGCTGAAACAGCAAGCGCTATCCACGATGCACAGTATTGAATCTCAGAATACCGGTCTCCGCGATGCCTGCCACCGGGATCACTGCACATACCATGAAGTTCACGAGCTCATCCCCGATCAGGAAGCCGCTGTAGGTTCCGATTAACTAATTAACTGAAAATTAAAAACAACTCTTGAGTTAGAATTCGCAGAAAGTAAAGACGTATTTGCTTAACCGAATGTGACCCTTGCCTTCTGACTGATTAATAATACTACCGTAATTACTACGTATTATTTACGTACTGTACAAATCTGGTATCATTGATTTCTAAATAAATTTATCGTGACAGATTGATGGTGACCTTTGCGACAACCAGTGGGATAATTTTTACTGCCTAATTTTGTTATAAATAACTTTAATGATTGTTTTAAAATATATTAGTTCTATACAGGACAGTATTATGGTAATTTTGTTTATAGTATTATAGTATTAAACTATGTAATAAAGTCTCACTATTATAGAGATTTAGTGGTTCTACACAGTTCTTATAAATTTTTAAATTTACTAATTTAAACTACTTAATTTAAAGGATCAATACTGGCTGTCGATGCACTGCGTGGAGCGCTACATCGGCTGCCCCATCAACGGCGGCTGGTCGGAGTGGGAGGCGTGGTCCAACTGCACCACCGACTGCGGCATCGGCGAGCGCTTCCGCGTGCGCCGCTGCAGCGATCCCCCACCGGCCAACGGTGGCGCCTACTGCCCGGGCGATGCCTTCGAGCGGGAGGACTGCCTGGGCGTGGACTGCCCCGGCGTCAGCGGCGCCCAGCAAGCGGTGTGGACGGAATGGTCCGATTGGTCGAAATGTTCAGCACGGGACTGTGTGACGTACGGAACGGAGATCTCACGGCGGCTGTGTATCGGGGTGCACCGGCCGGCGGTCTGTGATGTGGGGGACGGGAGTGTGAAGGGGATGCTGGAGAGGCGGCGGCCCTGTGTGAGGGAGGGGTGCTTCCAGACGACAACAGTGTCACCCGGAGAACGACCCAGATAGCCGCGTTGTTATAATGGAACTGCGGAACAGGTTCCACGCCGCAGCGGCTGAAGCGAGGGCAGCTCTCCGTCTGGAATGATGGTCTGTGGCGAAGGATGTGTTGCCGGCCGTTCGGTGCTAGTACAGGGCGGTCCGGGAATCTGTTATTGATATCTGGAATCCGGATGTTCAGTTATGCTGTGTAGCAGTTGTGGCTGTTGCTGATGTATGCGTTCGTGCAGTCCTACAAATCTGAGGCGAAGAACAAATACTTGGTGGTAAAGCATTTTTTAGTAATGCTGTTATGGGTTAGCATTCTGGCACATAGCGTCTTGTGGACCAGAAACATGCAGAAGTCAAAATTGGTTATGTGTTTTTGGTTGTTCAGGTACTGTAATACCCGGTGAAATGGCCGTACTGCACCGAAGCAGCCGGTTGTTTCTGCAAAAATCTCTAATAGCTGTTAACCATTATACAACGCAGTCATAAAAAAATATAGCCTAAAATATAGCCTAAAAGCCTAAAATATAGCCTAAAAGCCTAAAAAAAATATAGCCTAAAAGTATGTACGCAATAGTAACTCTTTAAGCAAAAATAGCGAGGATTTCGCATTAATTTTGTCGTTGGTTGCGCTAGCCATAAAACGATGAACTTCCCACCAATTTGTTCCTTATCAAACGGCATTACGTTCACAAGAAAAATAACAACAATAAACGACGAACCTTTCAGCAATAAAAGTTACAGAGTAATTAGTTTTATTCAGGTTTTCATTAATTAATTGCATTTACTGTGTTTATTTTGCCGCAGTTGACCACAAGCCGAGATTTCCACGGAATAATCAACACTGTATTTTTGACCAAACGAAAATCATTCAGAGTCGTCAATAGCAGAGTCATCAGCCATGACTGCTGCAGTCCGCTTAATGGTCATTACCGTTTGCCATTTATGTTATCAACGAAAGTATTGTTTTTCATATAAGAAAAGCTGGATCTCTGACGAACGCCCAGAATCCAGATAAAAAAGTCGATAATGCGCCGAACCAATCAAAAGTGATGAACTACAGTAAATGAAAGTGATGAAACAAGAATGAACGACCGAAACAGCAAACCTATCAAATTCTATATAGCCAGCACGAAAAGCGGGAATTACAGCTTGACACAGCGGGACCGTGTCAACTGGCAGAATTTACGTTGAACAGAACGGGAAAGGCTGTCACGAAGAACACTATGCTTTCTTAGTCAGCCCATAATTTTGCACGTGAACGAGGAAATTCAGCGCAATGCGCGACAACTTCTCCAGCTGCACACCTTCCAGCCCGACCACACACCACTTCTTCCCGCGGTAGTGCGTCGACGGACGCGGATCCGATGACTGCGCCTGACACAGCGCCTGCAAAATTAACCTCAGCTATGCGTGTTTCAAATGCGTAGAATGACGATTCAGAGCTTTGAGAAACCATAGCTGTCATCATTACCTTGGTGACGGCGCTTTTCGGTGTCTTTTCTTCCTTCAAATCCCCGCCCACTTTCAGCCGCTGCAATAACTCGCGCAGCGCCTGCTCCTCAGCCTCATCTGGCATCGGCAGCGCCGCCTCCAGTGCGTCCCACAAAGCACAGTCCAAACCGCCATCCAGCGGCAAACGAGCGGTGCGAATGTGGATCTCGGTTATCGCTCGAAACTTGTTGTTGTTGTTGTAGGGGAATCTCGTATCCAGACCAGTGACACCAGACAGTCGGTTATGTGGAGAGTATCGCACGGGAGACGACGGCAGTGGGCCATGAAATCCTCCAGCCACCAGAAACCCTTGAATTCCACCTTGGGCTTGGTCATAGCCAGACCGCATTCGGCAGCGTGGGTTTTGTCGAGCCCGCAGTCAAAAATCAAATCCAAGCGAACCCGGCGTAGATGCACGGTGCGCAGCCGGATGCCGGATTGGTGATCGGCCACATACCGGATCATACCGAAAACCATCATCGCGTAGTCAGAGAGCGTCCAGGATCCGTCTTCGAAGCTGCGCAGGGCAACGCGTTGCGTACCAGGGTTCAGGCGTTTGTACACCGCTGCCAGGTGTAGAAAGCAGCCAAATCGACGCTCCGGGCTCGTCTCATATCGGATGAAGATGTTGGAACGCAGGGCTGACGCATCCAAGATCCGGTCCCACGTGGCGCACACAGCGCGCAACGCCGTCTGCGTTAGAGTTGTCAAGTGGGAGAAGACCTCCGCCCACAATTCCGCCGGAAGTTTGATTCCTTCGTCAGCAGAATCCGTAACGGTCATGCGCAGCTCCTTCAGGAAGCTGTTAGCCTTCTCCTAAAAACGTACCGCATTTGTCAAAGGGAAATAAACACGCGTTGCAATTTTTCTTACCGACAAGGGTGGTTCGGCATCCGGAAATCTTTCAACATAGCGCCGATAGATGTAGTGCAGTTTACCGGCAACCTTTTCGTTCTGATTTGTCAACAAAAAAGCACATGAAGTACATATACCAGTATCAGGCATAATACAGGCGCGTTTATATATACCAGTACATATACCAGTATCAGGCATAATACAGCCGCGTTTCCCCAGTTATGAATACTTCATAAAAACTTACTCTCTCAGCGTCTCAGGTAGTCTTTTTCACCTTTTCTACATGCGGAACGGTTGTTGGCTGACAGCAGAACAATTAGCTAATTTGTGACAGAAAGACCATGCGCCGCCGTTGTTTGCGCGGGGAAATACCACTGTGTTTTTGTTTACCACATACATAGATAAAAATATCCAGAGGCGTCCATGAGCAAAGTGTTATCGGCCTTACGCGACGTAAGGTTGTTTTTACCGTACAAATGGAGAAAAAAAGCACAAAAACATTGTTTTTATTTTCCTTGCAAACTGCAGTACGTCGTACATACCACATATTTCCAGGCTGAATTCACTGCATTGCATACGACTTCTCAATCAGCCTCGGTGTAGCACGATTACGATAATCGTACAAGTGCGAGTGTTGTGAATGGTATTACACCTGCAGCGAGTTCAGATACGTGGAAAAGTCTGTTAGGGAATTATTTCAACAGCAATCGTGATTCCAGACAGCGTCTTTATAAAACCGATTTGCCCTGCCTTGACAAGTTGTGTCGGCGCTTGACAGATGTCTATTTAAGCACCAAACACTGTCGGTTTGACTATCGTTCGCCCGCCGTTTGACATTCAACGATTTTAAACGCTTCGTTTCGTGATAACTGCCAAAGTTTTATATTCGTGGGATTAGCTAAACGTATCGACCATGGTCTACACCGCTGCAGTCATCCTGTCTCTTCTTCTCATCGCACCCGTGATACTATCCCTTTCTGACGATGGTAGGTCGTCTGTTTTTATGACCTTTAGATTGCAGGTAAAGGTAAAAAGGGAAAAAATTCAGGCCACATTGACTGCTTGCTGTTTGTAGAGGCTGGTGCGGAAAGAACGCTGGAGAATCGGGCGGCGGAAGCTGCTGTAATGTCAGAAGGTTGGTTGTTTCGCGTGAAGAGGGATAAAAAGAAGACTGTGAGAAGAAGAAGTCGGACTGCACAAGTGACTGCATCCGACCCGGTATTCGTGGCAACAGGTTCGCCGGCGCTGCCGAAGCCGGCTGCGAAGCAGCTTGTGCGACGATGAAATGCAAATGAATGGGATGGAAGCGGTGGCACCGAGGAATCCGGGTATTACGACCCACAATACGCCCTTTTTGGTTTGATCTGTCTGCTGCTGTGTTTTTGTTGTGTTCTGTCTGTTTCGCTCAGATGCTCATATGAAAGGGTTTAAATTAGAGAAAAACTACGCTAACTCGTGTCACTTGTCGCGGTAAAAAATTTCTGCCAGTAAAACTTTTCGCCCGTATTACCGATCATTTAACATTTATCGTTCCTTTTACGTTAAACTGCCTATAATGTCCGTAACTCCCAAACAAGTTCGCACGTCTGAAGCAACTCGGCCGCTTGAACCTTCCAGAGGTCAGATAGCTCATTGTCGGAGTTGAAGGCGAGCAAGTTTTTGAGGGTCGGCCAAGTTTACCTTTTGCCTTTTCTTTGCCTTTGCCTTTTCACTTTGCCTTTTTCAACATTACCTTTGCCGCCGCGAAAACTTCACCGTCCTAATCGACCTTCCCCGAAAAGCTGTTTAAAATAACCTTAACCGTCGGCTTTAACCGTTGCATAACAGAATGCCGTCAAGCACTTTACTATTTTCGGAATTTTTAGCGCTGTTGTATCTTTTGCGTGGACGTTTACGAAATTATTGCTTTCATTTCAATATTACTGCGGCAAGTAAATTACAACATAGCAAACACTAATATCAAATGCGCTGGGTGCCGTCAGCTGACGGCAGCAGCTGCAGCTGCTGGTGAAGTCACCTCTGCACCTCGCCCTTGTGGTTATACAAAATAAAGATTACAAACAAGGTACGACTGATGCTACACAGAAGCACATCCGTCATTATCATATGCAAGTATCGTGCATCGGCAAGCGACACAAAGGGTTTAAATTCGTTTAATCATGTCAGTAGATTCAGTGTTAGGTTCGACGGAAAATGGTTTGTGGACGCCGCGGACAACGAAAAAGGTTACGCAAAAATGTTTCGCGACGGCCTTCCTTTTTAAAACACAGTTTACTGCGTTGAGAGTGGTAGGTTTAGAAAATGAGGTTTGTTTAAGGATTTGTAATTATAAACTGAAGCGTAACTTTTAAAGCTGTAAAGTAATGGTTTCCACTTGTATTTTTTAATCTACATGATGATGGCTAATATACCCGGAGTTCTTACGTGCGTGTTTGTCATTTACCTGGAATATATATAATGCCCATGTACAGAGTGAAGTGCGAAATAGTGTAATTACTTATTTTGAATAAATTTTTTTATGCTTAAATTACCACAGAGTTTTTTTAAGATGTTCAAGTGTGATATCGTTTTATAATAAACCGTAAAAGTGTCAATAAAGCCCAGAAACGGTAGCCATGTTTAGCTAGAACGTCAAACAACAGCCGGGTGACGGCAGCAAGTACAGGGTGTGCTTGCCTAAGCAACTGCCACTCTGTCAGCCCCTTATATCGTGCTTCATTGGCACTAATCATACATGAAAATGTTCAAACCAACATAAGCGAAAACAACTGACAATTAAGATGATTTTTCGACATTCGCGAACCTAGCAAACACAGAGACCGACAGAAAAAACTACAGAAACAAGCAGCCAAAATCCACAGGTGCCACACCAACGAGCTCGCTGGTTAAGGGCCAAACGCAGAGCGTTGTAAGGGCAAGCCCCCAGATTGCTTCGGGCGTAACAACAGAAACATCTGACCGCAAACATCCGCGCTCTCTCCATCCGTCTCCAGAGCCTGGGAGATCCACGTTCGTTCCACGATACCCCAACGACATGAACAATGATATGAAACGATCCAACGCGCAGTGAGAGTTCCAGAAGTCAACAAGGCTCCACAGCACAGATCCACGTTCTTCGGCCGCATTTACCATAAAAGCAGGATTTAGGGGTTGACCGGATGCCGCGCTGATGAGATCACTGGTTAAAAGGGTCAAACGCGAAGCGTTATAAGGGCAAGCCCCCAGTTCACTCGAAGCACAACAGTCAGACGCCCCAGAATGTCCCCCCTCACGGCGCATGCAGTCGCTCCCGCAGCACAGGCTCCAGTGTCCTGACGACTCCATTAGATAGGCAAGAATGGGTTCCCACGTATGACTCGAGCAGTATGAAGTTAAGTAAGGAATAATGAGAGGAATAAAAGTCACGAAAAGATGCTGCGAGAATCGAGGGCAGTTCGTATACTGGAGAGTGTATCTGTAGTTCCTATGAACAATTTGTCCCTGCCAATCTGGTTCGAACCAGAAATGGCAGGGCTCACTATTTATCCACAAAAATTCCCAAGAAGAAATCGAAAAACATAAAAGGGTCACTTTAGACGAAGTTGTCTAGAGAAGACTCACACTTATACTTATAAACACGGGTAGTTGACTACGTTTTTTGGCACTTGATGCAGTATAAATGAGTACATTGTAATGATTGTATTACATACTGTTACAATGCTGTTACCTGCAGGTAAACTGCATTTATTGACGCACTAGCAATAGCATTTTTTTGTTGGGACTGCACAGCTGACAGCCGCGGGACCCGTCCAGATATTTAGTATCGACGTGACTGGAGCGCGCATGCGGTGGTCGAAAGTACTGCAGTAACAGATACATATGTAAGGCCGACCACGTCTTCGAGTCTTGAACACATAGTTGTCGGTAGCTTAATCGTACCTCAATGGTTGTACAATTGAGGTTTAAAATTAATCATGTTTTCAATCCTTTTAATTTTCTTTATTGGTTTCGTATTCATTTCATTTGGTGGTCACCGATTTAGACCCAGCACCGTTTTCATAAAACGGTATGCATCGTTTTTATAAAACGGTGAGAAATTAAAAAAATATGTATGGATTACATACTCGAATTCTCCTATGACTTCTTTCCAGCAAATTCCGAGCTGAGGCTTGTGCTCGTTCAAATTACAGAGCAAAAATTTCTGTGGAAAACTCGCTATGCGGTGTTCAAGGGTGCTATAAATATATCTGGACATTCCGAAATGCGCGACTGTGCAGAGATATTTTAGAATTTGCTCATTGTAGCTCCTATGCATAACTGCTGGCTGGCGGCATGGGATAATTGATCGGCTTGAATCCCAACACGCCGCTCGATTAGAGACCGAAAACAGTAGTACTGTACTGCCGTATACGGCATACTGTACGGTCTGCCGTACGTAACCGTATAGAAAGACTACGGCAAATAACTGCCGTACCGTAACCGTAAGCCAAAAACACGATTTTACAGTGGGCTTGCCGTATACGGTACTGCCGTATACGGTATACGGTACGGTCAATCCGGTTATTTTTGCCGTAACCGTACCGTACCCGTAGGAGCCGTAAGCAAAACCGTACGTAGCCGTACAAAAATTTAGTACTGTTTTCGGTCTCTACGCTCGATACTGCAATGTTGAAGTGAGATGCACAGCCGAAGCTTCGATCAATACAGTAAAACCTCTCTATAAAATACAGGCACGGTTCCATCAGTTTCGTATGTTATAACGGGGTGTGTTTTATAAAGGGGAAATGCTCCCAGGGGCGCTGCTATAATTTGGGGTGGGGGGCGTCGCAGTACATGTATTTCATAAATGCAACATAAGGCATTAGCAAGAATCTGTAGTACATAACAAATTTGTATTACGTAGGAGTACATTAAAAAATACAAACTTCGTTTTAAGTTCATCATAGTGTACAATGTAGGACTAAATGGTCGCATAGCCCCATACCCAGCATTCTGTACGCAAGCGGTGCAGTGCACTTGTACCGGGTGGCTGAACAAAATGGCCGTCTTCGTTTTTGGCTTGTTTCTCGCGAACCGTTAACCACATCGCTAACAGTTTAAACTCATTCGATAGAGAATTTTATTCACTATCGAAAAAACAAAATTTGTTTTGAAAAATTTAGAAACGCTCGTTAACAAGGGGGCCAACCAAAATCATAAAAAAATTTCTCGTGTCCCAGCTCGCA